ACAGAGAGTTCTCTTAACTGTAGGAGTGGGCAGTTTAGCAGATCCATCTGGGACATTGGTGAATGTCCACATTGTAAAGGGAGAAGGGTGTTTGTGTGGATTTTTTTCCCCTCCCGACTATATTCTGAAGACTTGAGGGATTTTGGGGGGGGGGATAAAATGGGGGAAGGGATTCGGGAAACTAATAATAATGTTCCAGAGGTTAACTTGAAATTTATATTTAGTTAATGCTACATCTTTGTTGAACAAAGAGCGAGAGGTGGACAGGTTGGTTGCTAGCTGGTCTTAAGGGAAAGGAGGAAGGTGAGATAATGTTATAAATGGGGGAGGGATTGAGGGAGGAAAGTTGAGTGGGTAAACAAAATAAAAATCTTTAGGTCCAAACAAATTTTAGATTTAAAGAATGAAAGCAGATATTTTGTGTCAAATATTTTTGTTTTAAGTAAGCGGAGAGACATATCAATGGCACAAATACACTTTCAATTAAAATTTTACCCTTTATAAAATCAGACCGAAGTAAAAAATCCAATATTTAGAATTAGAGCTTTATATGATGTTTGGTTTTACTGTTTCTTCATATGGTTTTATCTACCAACCAACAGTTTGCATCTCCTTTATTATAGCTAATACAATTATATTCTATACCATAAATACTAATGGTCTTAACATAAATTTAAAAAGAAAAAATAGCTTTAAAAACTGAGGCCCCATATATATGTTTTCTACAAGAAACACAGCTTATGGAGGAACATAAATATTTCGAAGGTGACTGGTTTCACACTTCCCAAATTTCTCCAAGAGCATCATATACAAGAGGAGTAGCAATAATTATTGCCAAACATATACCTTTCCAATTAAAGGATATATATATAAAATGAAGGCAGATGTCTACTAGTTAAAGGAACACTTGGTGATAGAATTCTATATTAGGACATATTTATGCCCCTAATCAAGGTCAAATGTCTTTTTTCAGAAAAAAAAACCAGAAGAGTTTAGAGAAGAAATTATTATTATTATTGAAGGTGATTATAATTGTGTTCTTGACTTGAGATTAGGTCAAACAGCAGTATTATAAAAGATAGACAATCAGGCATAGAATTAATCTCTCTAAAGAATGAATATGATTGGTGTGATTCTTGGAGGTGTCATAATCCAAAGGAGAGAACCTACTTCTTTTCAATAATGTGTAGAATATACAGGAGAATTTGAGATTCTAATCTGTATATTTTTTGCTTAATACAGCAGTGTCAACACAGCAAGGCTGTATCTTCTGGTTAGATAATGCACTCATTTGGCTTTTAATAGAAACTGAAGACACACCTAAAATGAAAAGATTAAACATCCCACTTATATATGACTAGAAAAGAGTTGAAGGTATCTTGGAGGCAGGGCCGGCTCCAGGGTTTTGGCCCCCCAAGCAGCCAAAAAAAACCAACCAAACAAAAAAAAACCCCGCAATTGCGATCTGCGGCGGCAATTCGGCGGGAGGTCCTTCGCTCTGAGCGGAATTGAGGGACCGTCCGCCGAATTGCCACCGAATAGCTGGACGTGCCGCCCCTCTCCGGAGTGGCTGCCCTAAGCACCTGCTTGACAAGCTGGTGCCTGGAGCCGGCCCTGCTTGGAGGAAATTAAGCAGCATTTTAAGGAAGATTCTGACCAGATTTAAAAAAAAATGCTGTCCTTCAAAGCAATGATTAGGGGTAGCTTAATTAACAAAGTATCGTGTGGTAGAAAAGTGGAAATGGAAACAGTATTCAATGAAGTTGAAATATTTAAGAAATACATCAGAAAAATCAATCACAGAAAATATATATATTTTTAAAGGCCAGAAGTAAGTTAATTTTCTACAAACAGAAGTAAAATACACAGTTATGAGATAAAAGGGAAGGTCCTCTCATGGATCAGTAATTGGTTAAAAGACAGGAGAAAAAGAATAGGAATAAATGGTCAGTTTTCACAGAGGATATTGATCTCCCAAGGATCTGTGGTGGAACCAGTATTATTCAACATATTCATAAATGATCTGGAAAAAAAAAAGGGGGGGGGGCAAACAGTAAGATGGCAAGGTTTGCAGATGACACAAAATTATTCAAGATAGTTGTGTCCAAAACTGACCATGAAGAGTTACAAAAAGATCTCACAAAACTGGGTGACTGGGCAATAAAATGACAGATGAAATTCAGTGTTGCCAAGTGAAAAGTAATGCACATTTTAAAACATAATCCTAACTATACATACAAAATGATGGTTTATAAATTAGCTGTTCCTACTCAAGAAAGAGATCTTGGAGTCATCATGGATAGTTCTCTGAAAATATCTACTCAATGTACATCATCAGTCAAAAAGCTAAGAGCATGTTAGGAACCATTAGGAAAGGGATAGATAATAAGTCAGAAAATACCATAATGCCACTATATAAAGCCATGGTATGCGCACATCTTGAATAGTGTGTGCAGTTTTTGTTGCTCCATCTCAAAAAAGCTAAATTAAAATAGAAAAAGTACAGGGAAGGGTAACAAAAATGATTAGGGATATGGAACAACTTCCACATGAGGAGAGATTAAAAAGACTAAGACTGTTCATTTTAGACAAGGGACAACTGAGAGGGGATATGATAGAGGTCTATAAAATCATGAATGGTATGGAGAAAGTGAATAAGGAAATATTATTTACCCCTTCTCATAACACAAGAACCAGGGGTCATCCAATGAAATGAATAGGCAGCAGGTTTAAAACAAACAAAATTAAGTACTTCTTCACACAAACACTCGTTGCCAGGGGATGCTGTGAAGGTCAAAAGTATTACTAGGTTCAAAACAAGAATTAGAAAAGTTCATGGTGGGTTGGTTCACCAATAGCTATTAGCCAAGATGATCAAGGACACAACACCATGCTCTGGGTCTCCTTAAACCTCTCGCTGCCAGAAAGGAATGGACATCATTTGATAATTGCCCTCTTCTGTTCATTCTGGCACCAGCCACTCTCAGAAGACAGAATGCTGGGTTAGATGGACCATTGGTTTGACCCAGTATGGCTATTCTTATATTCTTAACTTACAAACAACACAAGTATTCCAGTAGGTCAATATCTACAGTTGAGACATTTTTTTCCTCACTGTCCCACAATAAAGCAAAACCAAGAAGAAAAAATTGGGAAAAAAACTATTCACTACATCTATAAAACACACAGGCTTACTCTCTGTTCTATAAAAAGTAACCTCTAACTTTTAGAGGAAATAGGTACATTAATGAAAAGGTGTGAAGTTGATATAGGCATAGTCACCAAAACTGAGAAATGAACATATAGAGCAATGGTCCCTAAACCTCAATAAACACAATTAAAGAGAACAATGTTAAACATTTTTATCCTCCTTTTAAAATTAAACAAATGCATGGTATTGGGATGGGAAAATGCTGCAGAGAATGTAATCAAATGGGAGGATTTCTGCATATTTAATAGACAATGCCCCCCAAAATAAGACATTTGGGAAGGCAGCTGGAAATGTCATAAGACAGATAATGGTGTTGGCTGTTGATAACCCCTGAATATCTTCATGAAGTTATCCTGAAAACTGTGTTTCTTATAAATGCTATAAAGAGTTGATGACTTATCTCCTAGTTGCTCCTAAAATTACTATTATTTCAAAAGAATTATAAAATTACTATAGCAAGGTGGTGTTAGGGGAGCAACTCCCCTAAATCTATTAACTGCTATCAAAAAGTGAGGGGAAATACTGGTATAGAAAAATTAACTTATCAAGTCAGAGTTTTATGGGAGAGAGCGGAAAAAATAGCTACTTAGCAATCTGGTGGAACTTTTTGTAGTTAATTGGAAGAGGTTTGTTGGCTGTCACCAAACCTAATAATTTGAGAACTTTTTTTTTTTAATAATAAGGGAGAAACTCATTCAACAACAGTCAAAGTTAAACTCAAAAATGAGATATTAAAAAAAGGAAAATAGATAGGAGGAAGAAGGAGTAAAGCTTAACATTGCGTAGAGTTTTGATAGGACAACTAAGAAACAGTTTACATATCTAAATGTAAGAAAAACAGAAGTTTGGACCAAAACATGAGATCAAAGACTTCAAAAGACGGATCAGGACAAAGAGTAGAAAAGCATCAACTACAGTATGTGATCAATATCACAAAGATGAAGAAAGTGACTGGGAGCAGGTCTTGTCAGTATAGCTTTACGGACTTCCATAGGCCAATTTATAGATTTGTATTTGTGTAAAATACTAAACTTATCTCTATTTAAGTTGTAAACCAAGTTTTATAGATTTTTCTTATAATATAATGGATCTGTTAATAGGTCTGTGACAAAAGTTGTTAGTTTGTTCCTTTTGTAATCTGTGTGAAATTGATTGATGGTCTCTGTATACCTGGAGATTTTTAAGAACAGGTTAGCCAAACACCTGTCAGGGATGACCAAGATATACTTAATCGTGCTTCAGAGTGAGGGGAATGGACTAGATGACTTCTTGCTGTCCCTTTTAGCCCTACATTTCTGTGATTCTATGATCATTCCTTGAAGATAGCTATTACATAAAAAAATATATTAGCTTTTACATATCGACATGCAGTTTATTAATTTGAACACTAAGGCCAAGAACTGAAAGCATGGAGACTGCCTGCTCATCTCTAAATATGGTCAAGTCAAAAGGGATTTGAGGATATACTGATAATGTTTATGCTCTCATATTGCTGTGTTTTTTTCTGTAGGTAGAAGACTACGATTTTCATGGCTCTTACTTGGGCATCCTTCTCAAGCATTATGTTCACTTTAAAAAAATGCTTGGAACCATAATTTGTGGAGGGAGGGAAAGGAGTGAAAGTGTGATTTCTATACTTTTAAATTATGATGGCCTTCCTCACACTTTAAGGAACTCACAGTTAATTAAAACTGAAGGATTTGGAAACTAAGGATTTAGTTGTCAAATGTATATTATTTGATAAGATGATTATCTTTATTAAAAAAAAAAAAACTTGACATTTTTACAGATAAAAAACTCTGGTGGGCAGACCACAACCTAGCTCAGCTGGGTACCTGCAACAAAAGAGATGGAAGAACCCCCATTGTCCTGCGAAACAAGACTTCAGGGGTTGTACATATGAAAGTGTATGATAAAGCAGCACAGCAAGGTAAATTGTATTTTAAATATCTTTAAACTACCATTAGAGTACATAATGTATTCATCTTCCATATTATTCCCAAAATGCATAGAGATTTATATTTGTTCCCCTTCGTTATCTGATACACTGACTAAAAGTCGAGCTTCTATGCACAGTGAATTACATTGTAGTTAATAACTTTCAAAATATTAGATAATAGTTTAGAAATCTCTCTTTAATATGTATTCAAAATATTTGAATATGATTCTTAATGCAAACGGAAATTACTATGATATTGTGAAGCTTAAATTTGGTAGTCAGAACTAGGACAAAAATGTGAATGTTTTCTTTTTCGTTCACTTGTTAATGCTACGTATCTCTCAATAAATTATAATTAAAAAATTAAATACAAGAAATAGTATTTGAAAAATCATTGATGTTTTTCATTCATCTCAATGGTTTTAAGCCAATGTAATTTATTTTACTTCATTGAAATTGCACTGATGTAAATTGGGAGTAAGTGACAAGAAAAATCAGGCAATTTTATTTTTCTTTGGTAGGAGAATGAATTAGGTATGTTTCCCTATTATTATAATGAAAACAAATCTACAATCAAGGACATTGCAAACTGTGAGCTTGTTCTTAGACATATATACTATCCCATTAAATAAACTATTTATGAAATAAACTGTGTGTTTGAGAGAGAGAGAATGTGTGTGTGTAATCCAGAACAAAGTCTGTCAGTGTTTGTTTCCTTTCTCTATTACATACACCTGAAGATGTAAACTGCAAACCAGGAGGCTAATGCTTTCGGTAGGATTCTGGGGAATGTGAAAGAGCCCCTGGGGTGGCTTGGGGAGATGACACAAGTTTCAGGGCCTACACAATTGGATGGCAGGGTCTCCACTATCAGAAGGGGTGTCAGACATGAGGTCTACCCCACGAATGTGTGCACAGAGCCCAAAAGCTAGGGACACTGCCTAAATTGTCCTGTCCTTTTAAGCTAAGGGCATGTGGGATTCAGCATTTCTATACCCTCACAGTGTGTGTCTAGCATATCAACCAGATCTGTCCCTGCTACACCTTATGTATCGTTGTATCTATAATTGTAGACAGAAGACCATTTACAGCGTTTCCTCAGACAATCTGACTTTCTGACACCATAGTATTCTCCCTGACAGGCATCTGAAACCCAGGCTAGATGGATTTAAGTCACTGATTTTAGTAATGATTTAAATCAGTCAGAAATGTTGATTTAAATATTAGATTTTAATCGAGACAAGGTGGGTGAGGTAATATCTTTTTATTGGACCAAGTTCTGTTGGTGTGTTTCCCACACCTGAAGAAGAGCTCTGTGTAACCTCAAAAACTTGTTTCTCTCACCAGCAGAAGTTGGTCCAATAAAACATATTACCTCACCTACCTGCCTCTCTAATATTCTGGGAATGACACAGCTACAAACACGCTGCATTCAGCTTTTAAGCATGTTTTTATGTTCTTAAAGAAAGGTTGATTTTCATTGGTTGGTAACTATTAAAACAGGTCGATCTGCAACTAAATATAGTTATTACAGTACATTGGTGGTATTTTTTTGCCAACCAGGAGGATACACGATATCTATATACATTTATTTCAGCAATTATTTAGTTTAACTGTACTGGATAGAAAAGAAAAAATAAGTTCATCCAAACATGTTTTACATTTAAATCTAACTGATTTATTCAACAAAGGAAGTATTATCTATAGTTAGTGAATTGAATGAATAGCGTCTGGTCAATATGTTCTTCAAGATTTTAGAACTGGTTGATCTCATCCTCTCATAACTAATTTCATAGATTGGAAGATAAAAACAAGCTTTTCTTCTTTTTCAACTTCCAATTGGTTTATAAACTTTGAGTGAACTAATAATTGAAATGAACTAGTTGAATAAACTGGATTGAAGACAATATTCTCTCTGTACCTGCAGAAGAGGCTACTGCTGTCAAAAACTGGTTGGTTTCAGATCCTTAGCAAGTGACTTCCACCCATCATTGGTGGTTTGAGTTTCTTTAAAACTTGACAACAAAAATAATTCTTAATGTTGTTTGGGGTTTTATTATTATTATTAAGGCTACGTTTATGTCACGGAGGTCATGGAAGTCATGGAATCCATGACTTCCAGAGACCTCTGTGACATTCTCTGCTTCAGCCCCTGGGGCTGTGGGACTCTGGAGCTGGCAGCCAGCGGGGCCCTGACAGGGTTCCAGCAACAGGCAACAGCAGCAACAGGTGACAGGGGGCCCCCTTCAAGGTTCCAGCAGAAGGTGACAGACTCCTTAAGGGGCCCTCCTCAGGATTCCAGTGACAGGCAACAGCCTCAAGCAGGGGGTTGGGAGGCAGGGGGACACCTCCGGTGAGCGGCTGGGGTGTCCCATTTTCTCTTTGGGAAATGTGGTCACCCTGCAGCTTCTAGCTGCCGTGGGCAGAACGGGAAACCCACAGCTCCCAGCCACCACTTCTGCAGCAGCAAAAGTCACAGGCTTCTGTGAATTTTTATTTATAGCCCGTGACCTGTCCATGACCTTTACTAAAAATAACCATGAGAAAATCTTAGCCTTAATTATTATTATTATTTATTATTACATTTTAGTTCTTTTAATTGACTACGATAAGCTTGCGCCTTAACTTAGGTTGTCAATTTCAAATTTAATTTTAAATAGTTTTTAAACAAGCAACCCTGCATTTAATATTCTGATTTAAATAAAAATATTTTTAAATTAAAAAATGTTGATTATTATCTAACCTGCTGAAATTTAATCACTCAGCCTCCTCAGGCAGACCATCAGAACATATCCATCATCTCAACTTGTAACTCTATCTCAAAGTTTGAGTGGGTTCAAAATAAAGGTGGCAAGTTAAAAGAAGTCTGAATATTCAATCACACCCCATAATATGAGTTGAGATGAAGATATTAACTATTTTGTTATATTAATTTTTTTGGGAGCATATTTGATGTATACTTTTTTATGGTACTTTACAATCCTCAGAGGGATCTGTTACACTTTGTATCATTGCCTAACATGCTGTGACTAGCATCACATGGCCCAACATAATAAAAGTGCTATAACAATTAGATATTTAATAACTGGGAGAGTTCATAAATTATTTAAATTCAAAAATCAGTTTTAATTAGTAAAGTGAGCCTGGAATAATCTCTGGGATATCTCTGTGGAATACATGTCTATGAGTATCTAGGTAATACTTGTCACTGTTGCTACACATAGATAATGAGAATTAATATGCTAAATAAATAGATAAAACTTAAAGGTACAAGTTTAATGTAGTGTTTGGGGAATTATGTGCACAGTTCCAGGAACAGGAAAATGTATAAGTGCTTTTTTAACAGTAAATTTATTTTTAAAATGCCTTTCATATAGTGATATGGTACTGAGGTTTTAGCAGTGGCTCATGGAGTGCTAAGCTTGAACTTGACATGTTTCCAGTTTCATCATGTTTTCTTAGTTTAAAATAGACAAGCTCAGTCAGACCTACTTTAGTTTGAAAAGATTTGTAAAATATTCTAAACATAAAACATAATGTTATGCTGAGGTTTTCATGGTTTTCAGCATTTCTGTGTTTGCAATTTCAAATATATCAGGTGAATAATATGGTATGAAATGTTCATAAATTGGTATTAAAATACTAATACTAAGCAACAGAACAGCTTCAACTTCAGTAGGATCCAGAGTTGTAACCATCCATTTCCGCCCCCCCCCCCCCGCCATTTTTCCATGCTGCAGGTAGCAATTCCTGTCAACTAAACAATGGTGGGTGTTCCCAGCTTTGCTTACCAACATCAGAAACGACCAGAACATGCATGTGTACAGTGGGTTATAACCTCCGAAAAAATCGTATGTCATGTCAAGGTATTTAGCTTTTCAATTCTTACTTTTGCTAAACAAATGTTATGACAACATTGAGACAGAAGAAGAGTCCTTATTTGTGGGTGGGGGGGGGGGTTTAAGCCTAAATGAACAATTTTACTAAGAAAAGCATGGTTATATTATGGCAGAAGAAAGGAGGTCCCACTATAGCTAGGGATTAATTTCACCTTTGATTCTAATTTCCATATTTCGGTTCCTCATAACTTTCTCAGATTTATTTTGGGGGAAAAAGTAATGCTAGGAAACTTGTATATATCCCCTTCTTTTACATACACAGATAAGCAGGAACATTTAGAAGGGCAGGACCATCATTCTGAAGCACTTTATTGGTTCACATCTGCTGGATTTCTGTTTTTACAAACCATGCGGGTGTACAAACTTTTCACTAGGGGTCTCTACTACAACAGGATATGAAGAAGCTAGCTTTAACATCTTGGAACCTGAAGGGTAAACTTGCAAGAATGGCTGCTGATAGGAGCTACAGCAGTTACTTTTATTCTAAATTCCAGAAAAGATTTTGCCTCCAGAATGGGTTATAGAAATTAAAGGACCTTTTCCAATTTGTTGAAAAGTTTTTAAATTGAATATTTTGGAAGCTTCCCCAAAATATTTGGACTTCTTTGTTTTTAGGCAAGAAAAGCATTATGGTTCTCAATAGCTATAACATTTAGTGTGGAACGTTGGTTCCTCAAGAGGCCTCCAGGCTCAGGACTTCTAATTCTACATCCAGTGGAAAAATATAATTTTGTTGGAAGTTGGTAATGGCCCCTATATTTACACTGCCTAACACTTTCCATTATGAAAGATTCTTACGATGCTTTTTGAGAAACTTTAAGATTTCCATTGTTTGGAATAGACCTTTGGAATTCAGCACAGGATAAGACATCTGACCAGAGAATTACCTTTTCTTTGACCCTGGAAATTCAATTCATGTTTTGCTGAGATATACACTGTCGAAAATCCCTTATTTGCTTGTGTTCCTCAGGAAGATTTTGTCAGCAGACCAAAATGACTAAACATGGACATTTAAGGACAGACTCACATTGCTGCTACTGTGTATATGCATTATGATAGTCTTAACTACATGATTACATACTATTTTTTCTAGAAGATCCCTGCTTCATTCAGTGCACAGGAAAGACACACAAGAAGGCAGACTTAAGGCTGAACAAGCAATCTTAAATCTGGCATTTCCTGACTTTTGCATGCTTGGCTTTTCAACCTAAATACAGTTATTTTAATATGGTGGTTTTTGTTTGTTTGTTTTTAATGTAATTTTCATTTGCTTTTACAGGCAATTGTAACTTTTGAATCCATGGCAGTGGTTTCCCTGAAATAGTTGTCACTATATGTTTCCTTTCTGCTAGTTATGACTTGAGCTATAAGAATGAATGAACAAGGGGATTGATCTATTAAAAAATGTATTTTCTTCATTTGTAACCAAATTAAATATTTCCTAAATCATCTCAACAGTTATTCTGCAAGACTAAATCCTCCTTTAATTTAAGCAATTCATATCTATGAAAAGATCTGATTCAAAATAACTTCAGTTTCTTCTTCGAGTGATTGCTCCTGTGTATTCCACAGTAGATGTGCATGCTCACCACATGCACCAGTGCTGGAAGTTTTTCCCTTAGCAGTACCCGTACTGGGGGAGCACCGTGACGACCCCTGGAGTGGCGCCTGTATATCACGCTATAAGCGGAGCCACAGGCTTCCCCCACCCTCAGTTCCTTCTTGCCGCCAGTGAAGGTAGTTGGAACTTTTGTGCTCCAGCTCTGCTGCAGCCCTTCTTCTCAACCTTAGTGGTACCATTGTAGATTGTTCTTCAGTGGCTAGAGCGGGCTCGGGGCATGCCCCGTGGCCCAGGCTTCAAGTTGTGCGACTCCTGTCGCTGTTCTATGCCCAGGAGCGACCCTCATGCTGAGGGTCTTCGCTGCCTGGGTGAGACTCACATCGGCGACCGTTGCAAGATCTGCAGGTCGTTCAAGCCAAGAACCAAGAAGGAGAGAGACTTCAGACTTCGGGCTCTCCTGATGGAGTCGGCGCTGACTCTGACGCCGGTGCGCAGATCGGACTCGGCCCCGGCCGCCACGTCGTCAGTACATAGTGAGGCCCCTTTGACCAGTCGGCGCCGCTCTCCCGCCAAAAAGCAAGGGAAGAGCTCAGCCTCGCAACGCCGCCGCAATAAGGACAAGGGGGAGGCTGGTCCTGCGCTGGGCAGCCCTCGATCCCCCCTGGGCTCTGAGGCTCCGACTCGTGTGGAGCGGAGCAGCCCGGTACCGTTGACCCAGGCATCCCCACCGGTACGGATGCTGTCGACACCGGAGGCGGTGCAGGCTGCGAAGGACATTATGTCCCTGCCCGTTCCAAGCTCGCAATCGGGCAAGGGCCCTAGGTCACGAGGCAAGCCCCCTTTGGGTGCCCACCAGACATCTCGGAGCAGCCGCAGTTCCCGCTCCGAAGATCGCTCCCCGCACTGTTCGGCATGCAAAGGCCGGTCTTCCGACAGCTCCCGGCCATCCTCGACGCCGGCCAGACCGTCCGGGCCGCCGTCGGGACGGGAGTTGCAGGGACCCTCCACGCCGCCTGCCAGCAAGCGGAAGCACCGAGAGAAGCACTGGGAACACTCACCTGCTAGACGTGGGTACCGGAGCTGCTCTCGACGGGACAGACGTCACCGCTCTCATTCCAGCTCCCGCTCATCTAGGCGCCACGCCAGAGGCTCCCCTCGGGGTACCTCGGCATCAGGGCACTGAGCGTTGCGTCGCCGTCACGCGTACCGAAGCAGTTCATTGCGTGGGTACCATTCATCGTCGTCGAGACCCCGATCCCAACGGAGATGACATCACAGACACCACTCATATCACTCCCGCGGCACCAAGCGTTCTTCGGCGACCTCGGCCTCGCAAACATCCACCCACCCTCGGCACGCGCCGTTCCACCGGGGCACATATTGCCATCCCATGCTCGGCTGAATCAATGGCAAGGGACTCCGTGGCAAGGACAGTGGTGTCAGTGGGCACCGTTGCCATCGGTGCCAGACCAAGTGGAGGCCCGTTCGGTTGCCAGAGCATCCTGGGCTCCATCGGCCTCCTCTGGCCGACCACAGGACAAGTCGGTGAGTCATGAGTCGGCGGACCCGCGCCAGGACTCTGACCTCAGTATCGACGCCCCGGCACCGACCGAGGCGCCCGGCTCCGTGCAGGCCCTCTCTCCGGTACTGGACGACACCATAGCGGCGCCTCAGCCATCAGTCCCACAGGAGGACTTCAAGGCGCACCAGGACCTGCTAAAGCGGGTGGCTTCCAACCTCCAGCTGCAGGCCGAGAAGACGGAGGGTCCGTCCGATTCCCTCTTTAACATCCTGTCTCCCTCGGCACCGGGCCTCATGGCCCTGCCTCTGCACCAGGGTATTGCCAACATTTCAAACTCCTTGTGGCAAACTCCCGCCTCCTTGGCCCCAATCTCGAAAAAGGCCAAGAGGAAATACTTTGTGCCGGCGAAAGACCATGAATACCTGTATTGACACCCGGCACCCAACTGGCTCGTTGTGGAATTGGTAAACCACAGGGAGCGTCAGGGCCAGCCCGCGCCCACCCCAAAAAACAAAGACGCCAAGAGACTGGACTCCTTTGGCAGAAAATTTTATTCGTAGGCTAGCTTCCAGCTTCGCGTAGCCAACCACCAGGCCTTACTGAGCAGGTACGACTTCAACCTGTGGGAGTCCCTGCTTAAATTTGAGCCCCTCCTCCCGGACCGGGACAGGAAGGACTTCAAGGCCCTGGTGGAAGAGGGGTCGGCAGCGGCAAAAGCGGCCCTGCAAGCGGCGTCCGATGCGGCGGACACGGCGGCCCACTCGATGGCTTCCGCGATTACCACGCGCAGGGCATCGTGGCTCTTGTTGTCCGGGCTGTCGACGGAGGCACAATCACTGATGCAGGACCTCCCGTTCGATGGCAAGGCGCTCTTTGCGGACCAGCCGGACGTCAGGCTGCATGGGATGAAAGATTCCCGCACCACCTTGCAGACCTTGGGCCTCTATGTCCCTCCGGCTAAGGACAAGGCCAAATCGCTTCCAGCGGCTCAGCAGATATGAGCCCCTGTAGAAAAGGCCCGGAGACCAGAAGCGTCGGTCTCAGAGGCAGTCCCACTCTGCCCCGCAGCCTGGTCCCTCTAAGGGCAAGAGGCAGGGGAAGAGGTGGTTTTGACTGTCTGCAGGGGGGCACCGGGCCTGTTGCCAGGGAGACCCGCCGATTAATAAAGTTTGTGTTCTGCAACCGATTGTTTACCTTCCTCAGGGTGTGGTCCCGCATAACTTTGGACTAATGGGTCCTCAGTACTATTTCCAAGGGCTACGTGTTGCAGTTCACCTCACTCCCACCAAATCACCGCCATCCACGATGGCCCCGGGGGACCCGGAACATGTCCGCCTCCTGCATCAGGAGGTGGACCAGTTGCCCCACCTGGGGCGGTGGAAAGGGTACTGGTTCAGTTCCAGGGCAAAGGGTTCTTCTACCAATACTTCCTGATCCTGAAGGCGAAAGGGGGTCTCAGGCCTATTCTGGACCTGCACGACCTGAACAGGTTTCTAACCCGTTCCAAGTTCTGCATAGTGTCCCTGGCCTCTATTATCCCCTCCCTGGACCTGGGGGACTGGTATGCGGCCTTCTGTCTGCTTGTATAGAATTTACAGAGCTGTTGCTTGAAGCTCTGTATGTACATATATGCAAAAGGACCCAAAAAACCAAAACCAGAAGTCTTTAATTGAGTTCTAATATGGAGAATGAAATTATGGTCATTTCCACTACTCTTTTTGTCATCCAGAGCTCATCCAGTGCTTCTTCACCTAGAATTCCTCAGTCCACCTTCTTAAAGCATTGTGTTGCTTGGTAATCTCCCATAAGTGAGAATATGCAAAGACCACTCAAAGAAGAAGAACAGTAGTTGTGGGTGAATGTTGCCCCTGCATATTTACACTTCCCCACTCATCTCCCCCATTTCTTTGGAGTCTCAGTGAAAGATTTCCAAGGTTAGGGAAGGAACTGAAGGGTGGTTGGGGCCACTCCCCTGGTATACCATCAGAATCCTCCGTGGGGGAGAGGGACAGTTGGTCCCAATATGGATGCTGCTTGATAGAACATTTCTGCAGCTTGAAGCATGGGTGTGCTATGCCCACAAGTGGGATTATGCAGAGATGACACTCTTGAAGGACAACAGTTACTGGTAAGTAACTTCTCTGTATTAAAATTCATTAAGTTCCAAAGAGAAATTGGAAAATAAAATCCAGCTACAGAGTGTGCTCTGCAGGGTTGGATGAGATTCACAGTAAAATGAGAGTTGAAAACACTATGTCCTGGATGTTGAGAGAGTTTGGCATTTTTATTTGTGTAGGACTAAAACATTTAGGAAGTAAGAAATTTTTTGTAGCCTATGGGAATCAGGAAATACTATTTACATGTAGTGCCTTAGTGGAATGAGGCCTGGTATAGTGTAGCCAGGTGTTAGTTCCTCAGAGCTCAATATACAAGGGTAAGGTTGCATTGATAGCAAGTCTGTCAATGTTTCTCTCTTAGAAATCTGCATAGAAAACTCCCACTTAAATTCTGTACACACATTTATATATGAAGCTATACCTATCTCATAGAACTGGAAGGGACCCCAAAGGGTCATCAAGTCCAGCCTCCTGCCTTCACTAGCAGGACCAAGTACTAATTTTTGCCCCAGATCCCTAAGTGGCCCCCTCAAGGATCAAACTTGCAACCCTGGGTTTAGCAGGCCAATGCTCACACCACTGAGCTATCCCTCCCCCCTGTCAATTTACTCATCAATACTCTTTCCACTTGGAATCTAGATCAGTTTTTTCACTTTGGGACGGTGATTCTATAATCCCTATTTAATTGGAACTCCTCAGCTGTGGTTCCCAGATACAGACTGCTAGCAAATCCCCCACAAGTGGAGCTATGCAGACATGATATCTGTGGTTCTTCAAGAGTGTTGCCTGTTTATATTCACATTGACTGTGCACTTTCTCCCTTTCTTAGAACTTTTTTGTTGTAGGACTCTTGGGTTTAGCAGAAAAAAATGAACTGGTTGGGGCCAGGACGCCCTTTTTATAACTTTGACTCCAAATATATGGTGTCTTAAGAATACCTCTTTCCAGAAGGTTCTTGAAGCTTGGTGGTGGAAAGCATAACCCACAAGTGTTAATATGAAGTAATAACACTGTTGAATTAACCATGACTTTTTAACCCTAATTGTATGTTAATACTGGGATTGCATGCAAAATATCATAATTTTTTTTTGAAAGTACAAGGTGAAGCTTGAATTGGAGAAGAGTTTTTTTAAACTATTTTATTTAGAAATATCAGAAACATCACAGTCCAATATTTCTAGTGATTAAAGAGCAACAACCTCAATTAATATTTCCAGATTTTCTTTAATTATTTCTTTAAAAAGCTGCCCAGTATGTTGCATTACAAAATATTAATTCATTAAAATTTGTTCATTTTGAATTTTAACCTATGGTTACTGTATTTTGCTCTTATTAACTATTTAATTTTCCCTTAGGTATTGAGTCATTCCTCATGTATTCTGTTCATGAAGGAATTAGAGGAATTCCTCTTGATCCAAATGACAAAATGGATGCTTTAATGCCCATATCTGGAACTTCATTTGCTGTGGGTATAGATTTCCATGGAGGTAAATAAAATATTATGTAGCTGTATTTTATATTTAAATTAAAAGACTATTTTTTTCAAAACTGCTGAGTAACTACAACTTCATTTGAAGCCAATGGGAGCTACCAGTGCTTGACCCCCCTGAAAACCGATCTGTAAATATATAATTGACCAGAGTACTCAGTGAAAAATATTAAAATGTCATTTTTAAATTATAATTGGTAGTGGAAGTAATTAATAAGAAACTGTATCCCACTCTTATTTTTGAACATTTTACAAGGAAGAGGGAGAAAAAATGTTCTCCTTTACTTCTAAGGCTAGGACAAGAAGCAATGGGCTTTAATTGCAGCAAGAGCATTTTAGGTTGAACATTAGGAAACACTTCCTAACTGTCAGGGTGGTTAAGCACTGGAATAAATTGCCTAGGGAAGTTGTGTAATTTCCATCACTGGAGATTTCTAGGAGCAGCTTAGACAAACACCTATCAGGGATGGTCTAGATACAGGGGCGGCTCTATGTATTTTGCCGCCCCAAGCACGGCAGTGAGGCAGCCTTCAGCGGCATGTCTGCGGGAGGTCCGCTGGTCCCGCGCCTTCGGCGTACCCGCTGCCGAATTGCCGCCAAAGCCACGGGACCGGTGGACCTCCCACAGGCACACCGCTGAAGCCTGCCTGCCACCCTCACAGCGACCGGCAGGCCGCCCCCCGCAGCTTGCCACCCCAGGCACGCGCTTGGTGCGCTGGTGCCTGGAGCCGCCCCTGTCTAGATAATACTTAGTCCTGCCTTGAGTGCACGGGATTCGACTAGGTGACCTCTCAAGGTCCATTCCAGTCCTACTATTCTATGATTCTATGAACATGTGACTATATATAATTAATAAACACAAGTAATTAATACATATTTAGTGTGGAAGGTGGGGAAATCAAAGAACATTTCTTAGAAGGATATCAAACTGAATTTAGAGGTGAATACTTGTATTACTGTGGTTTGCACACGTGATCTGATATTTGATGTTTTACAGACTGTTATGATGCACACATAATGTGTAGGGACAGATTTTCCCCCCCACTCTTCTTCTTTGTGCTGCTCAGTGGAGACTGTAGAGACTGGTCAAATTTTCTTATCTGGGAATTCTCCATACTTTAGGGAGTCTTTAGCATTCAGAGTATAGCAGGCTTCTGAGTGCTGTGGAAGGTTGCTGGTGCCGGTGTGAGGGATGTATTATAGGAGTGCAAGGAAGACCTGGTAGAGGAATATGAGAATCAACTTATTCCTCTACACATATCCTTATCCTCACCTGATGAAGGGATCCATCAAACATGTCTACTATAGACGACTTCAGGGCCTTCCAGGATCTTCTCCAAAGGATGGCAGAATCCCCCTGGAGATAGTTCAGGAGAGATCTCACAAATTGTTTTACATTTTACACCTGACTTCCTGAAGTTGTTTAGCCATGCCTATTAATAAAGCCATTCTTGAACCTTGTAGATTCCTGCATCTTTATTAGCCACATCTAAGAGGGCAGATCACAGGTATCGAGTTCCCCCTTAGGGGTTGGGGTGCTTTTTTTCACACCATGTACCTGTGACATTGTTTATAACAGCAGCACACAAGAAGTCTAAGTTGCCTGGGACACCTAAGTCTACCACCAGAGAAAAAGAACCCTTTACTCTCGGAAAGACTGTGTAGTGACATTTCAACCTCTCAAGTATCAGAGGGGTAGCCGTGTTAGTCTGAATCTGTAAAAAGCAACAGAGGGTCCTGTGGCACCTTTAAGACTAACAGAAGTATTGGGAGCATAAGCTTTCGTGGGTAAGAACCTCACTTCTTCAGATGCAAGTAATGGAAATTTCCAGAGGCAGGTATAAATCAGTATGGAGATAACGAGGTTAGTTCAATCAGGGAGGGTGAGGTGCTCTGCTAGCAGTTGAGGTGTGAACACCAAGGGAGGAGAAACTGCTTCTGTAGTTGGATAGCCATTCACAGTCTTTGTTTAATCCTGATCTGATGGTGTCAAATTTGCAAATGAACGGGAGCTCAGCAGTTTCTCTTTGTAGTCTGGTCCTGAAGTTTTTTTGCTGTAAGATGGCTACCTTTACATCTGCTATTGTGTGGCCAGGGAGGTTGAAGTGTTCTCCTACAGGTTTTTGTATATTGCCATT